AAAATAAATAAAAATTGTTTTAATTTTTGTCATTCAATTTTCCTTTTGTCCCCCTTTTGCATCCTTTCTTTAATGATTCTATTCCTTTGATTTCTTTGGTATCAGTGTAATTCTTGTCCTGCAGTGGGTTGTCCTGTGGCAAGATGGCTGTGGCAAATTGTCCCATGGCAAGTTAGCCGCAAAATGTTGGCCATGGCAAGTTGACCATGGCGAATTGCCTTAGACAATTAGAAAACATATATCATTCAAATTATAACCAAAAATTTTCTGCACGTTTGTCATCCTTGATTAATAGAATGCACTACCAAGTTAAGTGTGTTTATGAATGAAATCTCTTTAATTTTTGCTAACTGAATTTATCAGTTCATTTTCTAGCCATTTGCAGAAAAGTAGAATGAAATTAATAAATGAAGATAAAATATAATTCTGCATTCTTATTGGGCTGTGAAAGTTAGTATAGAGTTCGGTCATACTGTTTTATAACATAACTAAGTTTTACTTTTTAGACAAAGGTTCAGTGGACATAATTTCCTAATGGTTGTTGACCTTCATTCTCAACTAGTCAATAACTGTATACAGTAGATATTTTGCATGAAATGAATAAAGTGCAATAGTTATCCTGATTTATAATAGTGACTATAAATTACCCATAAAGTAGAATCAAAGGGACTCTCAAGTTGACTTAGAAGTGTACTAGGGAAGGGTGTGACCAACCAGCTACATTGATCTCAGGCTATTTTTTGATTTGTAGGTAATTCCAAAGACAACCTGTAGCTTCATATATCATATTAAGACATAATGTGCCTTGTTTGATTTTAGTTTACGTTGTAGTGTGAAACCAGCCATTGTAGTTAGGAAGTTTGATTCCCAACTGAATGTGAGGTATAAATCCAGCCATTTAGGGTTTATTGAACAAAGCGTGATTAGTGCAATGTGTGAATCAGACCTCTGAGGTGCTTAGTTTAGAAATATTCAGTAGAGTAACTTGGCTAAATGTTGGCTTCTATTCTGAAAGGTCTTATTGCTAATGTACATGAATAATAAAATAGTTTGTTACAAATGTGATTCCCTCCACATTTAATGGAGCTTCTAGAATGTATCTGTCAATGAGTGTCGAGTGGAAGTTCTTTCATCTTAATTTGATGTTGCTTATTGGGGGAAAAAAGGAAAGGCAGAAAACATGTCACAAGAAAATACCCTGGCCTGAGTTTATAATGCTAGTTCCAAGATTCAGTATTATTTAAGCTGTCTTTAAACCAATAGGGTTAGACAACAAATTTAATTCCCATTCATTCTAAGGGTGGATTATAATAAATGTTGCGCCTTGTTTTGGAGTTTCCTATTTGGGAATTATAGTTTAATGAAGCTCTCTAGCTTGAAAGTGTTCAACTGAAGCCCAAGATAGTTGTGAAATCCTAGTGGAAAGTGTTGTTCATTAACTGCAGCATGACTGCAGTGGAGACTTTATCCTTTTGCTGGAAATACAGTTTCCATTCCTTAACAACCATGTCCCTGAAGAAATAGCCATCCCACAGTAGTTAAGAAGCTGTATCTAGGTCTTTCAAGGCAGAAAAGAAAAGTACGAGGAACTGAGAGCTAGGCATTTTCAATCTCAGAGTAAGACTGGCTCTGGGTGAGGATGGCCTTTTTTTTTACAAAGCCAAACCAGAGCAAATTAAATGAAGCTGCCATTGCATTGCCCTCATGGATTTTCCATTGCTCATCTATCTGTAGATTTCTGTTCTTCAATCGATTATATTTGGGATTGGACTGTATCAGAATGGATGGAATAGGCCCACAGGCCATGGAGATTCTCAGTCATTCCAGGTCATAGTTGTTTTTCAAAGGCAGCTGGACTTCCTTTGTTTTTCCTTGAAGACATTTTGCTTCTCATCCAAGAAGCTTCTTTAGTTCTGACTGAATTGTGGGGAATGAAAGGATTTACAACATGGTTCTTTTAGCAGCTCCCAAAAGGTTCCACACCCATTTACACTATTCAGGTGACCCAGAGGACACAGGTAAACCTCCAAGAGGCCTCAATGACTATCAGAAAGAGTGCTAACAACCAGACGACTACAAGGAATATAAATCCTTCCATTATCCACCATTGAAACGGAACTGGAGAAGCTTCTTGGATGAGAAGCAACATGTCTTCAGTGGAAAACAAAGGAAGTCCAGTTGCCTTTTAAAAAAGCACCTTTGAGACCCTTCCAAGTTGGGTGATCTTCTTCCTTGTCTCAAAGAGATGTATGGTGTCTGAATTGATGGCTAGAAGGATCTTGAGCATATCAAGCCCTATGTCTACGGAGATTTTCAGTCATCCAGGTCATGATTGTCCTAAATGTGCTTTTTCAAGAGGCAATTGGAGTTCTTTGTTTTTATTTGAAGATGCTTTGCTTCTCATGCAAGAAGCTTCTTCAGCTTTGATTGGATGATGGGAAATCGAAGAATTTTTGCTCATTGCAGACAGCTGGTCATTTGCATCCTTTCAGAGAGAAGTTGAGGCCACTTGGAGGTTTGTCTGTGTCCTCAGGGTCACCTGAGTAGTGCAGTGGGTGTGGAGCCTTCTTAGAACTGCTGAAAGGACTGTGTTGTGGAGCTGGGTTTTCTGCAGGATGTTTTCTGCCCTGTGGCCCTTCACTGTTGAAGACAGGCGCCGGCTGTTGGGGATGAGTCTGGGTTGTCTCTATTTCAGACAGAAGGGCAAATGGTTCCTGTAGTCTGCATTTTTTCTGGAAGTCCGTTCATTCTTCTGCATCATTTGAGGATGTTCATCCCATAGGGCACAACTAAATGTATAAATATCAAGCCCTACTTTTTTCAGTGGGTTATAAGGTATCTCTTATCAATAATTATTGGACTTCCCGTTAGTACAGTCTGTAGAATCTAAGTTCTTTTGTTTTTAAGGTGTCCTTCCTAAACCTCTTAAGAAGAAAGTTGCATGGTGTGTAGACTCAGCAACGCATGTTTGCATACTGGCAGCCACAGTTTGCTCCTAATCTTTTTCCAGAGCTTGCATACATTCTTTTTCTCTATAATTTGTAACATTGCCAAAATTTTCTAAGGAATGCATTTAACAGGAGTACTCCTGTGCCTGCTAACTTTTGAGCATCTAGTCTCTGGACTGCCTATTTGGACACCAGCTATAATGGGACGCAAAGCAGATCTTATTAATCCATATTTGTTGGATCAAAAAAAGAAATTCAAACAAAGGATGGAATGGAGGGGAGCCCTTGTGCATGTTTGGTGGGTCGAATATTGTATGTTGTGTTGTCCTCAATTTACCAATTGAAAAACAGAGACCTATCATTATGTTCCTTTTCTCTTTAATGTTGTATACATATAGATATATACACATATTCATCCCATTCTGCTACAGTTATGACATGACCAGAGAGAACTGGAAGAGTGAATCTAGCCTTACCTATCCTGCCACCATCCGGTCTGCCCCAAACTGATACTAGGAAATCCAGCATCACACTACATAGTTCTTGCTTGGAGACAATCCTAATCCAACCCCCTTCAATGAGTGGGTGATACCAGCAAGAAGGAAGTGGGTCAGAATTCACAATCTCCAAAACTAAATGCAACCAAAGCCTCAAGTTCTAAGGGAAGCATCCTCAAGATGTCCTACAAATAGTCCTCGACTTACAACAGTTTATTTAATGATTGTTCAAAGTTACAACAGCACTGAAAAAAGTGACTTATGAGCATTTTAGGACAATGGCAGTATCCCATGGTCACGTGATCAAAATTCAGATGCTTGGCAACCAACATGAATTTATGATGATTGCAGTGTCCCAGGGATCATGTGATCCTCTTTTGACCTCCTGACAAGTCAGTGGGGAAGCCAGATTCACTTAACAAATGTGTTACTGTCTTAACAGCTGCAGCGATTCACTTAACAACTGTGACAAAAAGGTTGTAAAAATGGGACAAAATTCTCACTTAGCAACATAAATTTTGGGCTCAATTGCGGCTGTAAACCAAGGACTATCTGTGCTAGGAAACTCTTTAACAATTCTAGATTAGCAAACAATATCCTAAGCAGGAGTGAAATCTATCTCCCAAATTAGTTCCCCCAAAAATCAGTTTTTCCCCCTGGAATGCTAATTTGTAAACACAAAACATTACATCATGGATGCTTCAAAGCCCTCTCTAGATCTTTAGTATCACAGCTTGCCTTTTAAAAAGGTATAGGTAGGCACTATATATCATGAGCCAGGTTTAAATGAAGAGAATGAAAGTTACAGCTATATAGTGGAAAAAAAACATGTGCTAGGAATTGCAAGTCCACGCTAGGTGTTTATGTATGCTCCTTGCAGTTTTTGTGTGCACCCTCTCCCAATACAGGCCCATAGAAATACATTTAAAATAAATTATGAATCTCTTTTCCCAACTTAAACTCATTTTAAAAACAGCTTACTCGGAAATGTAGAAAGTTTGTGCTTCTGAACCTGTTAAGATACCTCCCTCTGGATGAGTGCCACTCCCTTTAATTACAAGTTAGACTACAATGTTATAGACAGACAAGCAGCAGAGATGAACCTGGACTGCCAACAGGCCAACATTGAGCATGCCTACCCACCTTCAATGGATTGAATCCCCAAGCCAGTACATATAGGATTGCATTGGTAGAAATACAGGCACAAACGCATATTGAATATCTCATGATGTCGCTAAATCAAATCACATAAATAACTAGCAGAGGGATCAGTTATGAGGTCAAAACTGTTCTGTCCACCACCAGCAAAACTGGGCTGTACAATGGAGCATCTCAATTTTAGAGGTAACCTTCCACTTAAATAGGTTCTCTCTAGGTCTGTCTGCCTCACTCTGTATGGAGGGGAGGGGAGGATTGCAAATGTCTGATGGCTTCTGCAAACTGGTTGTTGTTGTTGTTTCTTTTTTCTTCCTCCTTCCCTTTTGATTTAAACTAACCACAAACAATACATGACTATGAAAACATCACCCTGTATTCTGTTGGGTCATCCCGACAGCCGGAGAACCTGCTTCTGGCCAGCAAATGCAAAGGAGCAGCGGTGAAATTGGCAGATTTTGGCTTGGCAATTGAGGTTCAAGGAGACCAGCAGGCCTGGTTTGGTGAGTGCTGGTGGAACTACACTCCCTTCCTTTTTTCTTGATTTGTGTGGTGGAGCCAGATGGTTGTGTGAACATACGTGTGTTGGCAATTTTTGCTTTCTTCCTCAGGCTTTGCAGGTACTCCTGGCTACCTTTCTCCAGAGGTTCTACGCAAAGAAGCTTATGGGAAACCTGTGGATATCTGGGCATGTGGTAAGAGGGAGCTACATCATTCTGCTCTATCACAGTGGGCCTGTAGAGTTGCAGAGAGGGCTTCCCATTTAGTTCATGGCTCAGCACTGTTCTGCAGAGCAGATCACAAAAGTTTGTGTATCCCCTCAAAACTCAGGTAGAAACAAACTGATAGAAGACAAATTAGAAGTCAGTTTGTAGAGTAAATTGTTTGGGTATGGATTGAAGTCACACATTACTATAGCTATACATTTATGTTCCTCCTTACAGACTTTTCAAGATGGCCCAGAACAAAAAAAACCTGCAATAATAAACACTAAGTTTAGCACTAATATGTGCAAAATAATCAAAGCTGCATGATGGTATTCAGTTCCTTATGGCTGCCAAGAAAATTATGGGTGTGTCTATGTGGTCACCAGATACTGTGCTTGACTGGATGGAGTATATAAAAACTTGTGGTCAAAATGGTGAAGATGGCAGGACTATCAAAGCTTCATTTGTTTTTGTGTGTCACATGTACAGCATAAGCCAAAATCAGGCAATCACACTATTATGGCCGACATGTTGACTTTCTTTTAACCATGGTAAGAAGGATCTAGCTCCAGGTCTTCACCTTTTGCTGAAGATCAGTAAACACTCTGGATGGGATGTGCCTCTCATTTGCACACAAACTCCTGGTAGAAAAAGTTACAACTGCAACTCCTCATACCCTTGCCGACAATTTGGAACTCTATTGTAGTTTGCAAAATGAGGATCAGAAACCATTTGCTTGTTCCCTTGCTTGCTTTCTCGCAGGATGAGTAGAGTATGCACTTCAAGATTTGAATCTGTTCACTTACTTAGTTCAATTTAGATTGTTGCTGATTGATCAATCTAATGGCCATCTCAAATCATATTGCATCATGTCATTTGTTTGTTTATCAATTTGCTATTGTTCCATTTCTGCCCCCAGGTGTTATTCTTTACATCTTACTCGTGGGGTATCCTCCTTTTTGGGATGAGGATCAGCACAAGCTCTACCAACAGATTAAGGCTGGTGCCTACGATGTGAGCAGTGGTTTCTTTTGCTTGCATTCCCTCTGTCTTACAACCTGTGAAGAGTTACTAGACTACCCAAAGAAAAAAGTTCAAAAGTTGCTTTTCTTAAAATTAAGTACTGGGCTAATTGTAAGCTCCTCAGCAGGAGTTTAAGTCTCCTTGAGACTGTGAGAATGCTGAGTTTCAAAAGGCCAAGGGATGCTTTGTGGGCATTTGTTTCATTCTTCAATCGATAGCTGTCAAGATAGATAGCTTGGGTTTACACATCACTGGTAGCCCTAATATGCTGTATGGCGTTCAACTAATTATTTATGAAATAAAGAAATCATGATTTACAGCAGGTGCGCCCAGCTTTTTGGCTTGCCTGCGTCGCATTGAGTGAAGAGGAATTGTCTTGGGCCTCATATAAAATATATAATATGGTAACTATCACTAAAAAAATCACATACTAATGTTAAAAATTTACGATCGTGTGACCAGCTGTCCAGGACCATATGCATCTGCATGGACCATGGGTTGGTCATGCTTGATTTAGAACAATATGTCCAAAAAAAGTCAAATATGATAACAAGGATTCAAATAGAATAAACCATATAATACTTTTTTAAAAAATGTCTGAAACTGAATGCCTCATTTTGAAATTTAACAGTAATTTGTGGATGAAATCTTGGCTCATACCTCAGATTTCTGTTGTTGTCTATGCATTATTCTAGCATTTTTATTAGAAATACCAACTTAATTGATCAGTGAAGACCCTCTTCTTTTAATATTAATGTTGTCTTCCTGAAATGTTTTCTTCCCTTAGTTTCCTTCCCCTGAATGGGACACAGTCACTCCTGAAGCAAAAAACCTCATAAATCAGATGTTAACTATCAACCCTGCAAAGAGAATCACAGCACATGAAGCTCTGAAACATCCATGGGTCTGCGTAAGTATGATTGGGTTTTCCTTGTGGCTTAGATTCAACCCATCTGCTCAAACATTGTTAAAGGAATCCCAAGTTTCCTTGTTTAGTTCCCTTAGAGATTATAATAGTTACACCTTCCAAGATAGGATATAAGCAAAGTAATGATAAGGATGCATAAACTTCCAAAAAGCTTTTATGAGAGTACCTCTATTGAGTAAATGTTTTCAAATAACCTCGTTTATAAAACTTCACTGCTTTAAGTATTCTGTGGCAAGCTGACTAAAAGAGCTTGGATGATGCAAGAAGGATCCACTGAGAAGTGGTTAGATGGGGATGATCCAAGAAGGAACCACTGAGCCACAACGAGACCCACTCCTAGTCCCCCATACAGTTTGTTTTGGCTAACCTTATTGTTAGTGATACCAGTGTTCCTCTCCAAGAAGCTGACCTACATATGTTGCTATTAGGGATCTGCAGAACAATGGGTTGCATGGTGCTGGGGAAACTGCCTGGGTAGGCAGATATTACAACTATCTTTCCATGGACTGCTTCAAGGACTTCTGTAGTTGTAGTGCACTCAATATGGCTAAATGGTCCCTAAGCTGTTTTAGGAACCTGCGTGTATTAGATACACCAAAGCAGGCCAGGAAGGCAGCAGAGTCTATCTCTGTTTCCTCACAAGTGCAATTCACCCTGCCTTTTTGTTGAGTCTCCCCCACCCCCTGCTTTTTTTCCTTCTCTTGCACTTTTTTTTAATGCCAGGCCAAACACTTTAGACTTTCGCTGTTGGCTTCCCTATCTCACTCTCATGCCTTGTAATATTCTTTTTGCAGCAACGTTCGACAGTGGCCTCAATGATGCACAGGCAGGAGACTGTAGAATGTCTGAAAAAGTTCAATGCAAGAAGGAAGCTGAAGGTAAGCGATTTAAGGGGATGTGAAGGCAGAAATACATAAGGACTTTCAGTGTCGAATCTCTCTTGCAGGTCCTGTAAGTTAAATAGTTTAGTTGACTCTGTCCTTAATAATATAAATCAACATCCTTAGTCTCTTTCCTTTACCATATAAAGATGGCTTTTCTTTACTGCCTATCGTGTTTTGAACAGATTTAACTTCTTTTATGTCAGTATACAACTTTTCCTCTTCATATTCTCTGTCATCATCTTCCTATCTTTTTATCCTTCTCAATCATTTTATCTGTAATCACAGATTTCATTTCTGGCCTTCCATGTTTTGTTCAATTTAGATTTTTGCCTCTTACAAGTTGACTGAATCTTCTGTTCAATTTATGTTGACTTTTCCTGTCTCTTCATTGCCTTTCTTTGTTTCCTTCTCTATTGCCTTTAGTATGATCATTTTTCACTTTCTCAATTTTTCTGCTCTTTTGGTTTTTGTGATGTCTTCACTTTGTGGGCTGCTGTTCATACGATCTTGAAATATCTGCTGTGAACTCTACGTGGCATCAGGAATGGCATCCAGCCAGTAAATGTTCAGCTCCATTCGGTTGCCCCAACGCTACCCCAAATTAAGGGATTACAAGTTCATAAAAAGGAGCTTTTGTTTATATGCATCTTTCTATCATTTTTCTTCATTTAAATGTAAAAATATTGATGTGATCTCACTCTGTTCCTTTTGCCTTCCTAAAAATCACCAGTTCTCTTAAAATTTACTATTAAAATCCGAGTTTATGACACACCTTTCCTAGTTTACCTTTCCCCCCATTTCATCTGTATACTGAATTACCTTAAGGCAGTAAAGTACTTTTACTTTTTTCCCTTATGAAATATTCAGACCCGCGAAATAGCATTTATAAAAGTAAAAGTGATAAAAATACTGAATCTTCTCTTTCTGAACACTCTAGTCACCCTGTACCTTTTGTTAAAACCAGAATAAAACAGGAGAAAATTCCTGATTAGCTTTTTGGTTAGGATGAGGTTGACCAACTTTTTTTCTGCCATCTAAGGTTAATTGCTTTATTTATTATAAATATTAATTAAAATTATTATAATTCTTATAAAGGTAATAGAAATAATGCCATGTTTTGAACCATGACAACTCAGGTTGGTTTTCTGATGATAATACTGATCTTTAGAAAAGCAAGCATAACTGCACTGGTCCTTTATATAACTGTTAGTGAAAACGGATGTTAGAGAATAAAATTACATGTAAGGAAAGTAAAACTTTAGGCCAGATGTTTTAAGCCTTGATTTCCAATTCAAAGCCAGTCTCAACACACAAATAGTAGACCAAATGCATTGTTAGTAGTTGATGTTACTGATGCCAGGTTGCATCTCACATATAGGGATACCACCTGTCCACCAAATGTGTTGACTGCCACATCTTTATTCAACACACAAAGACCATAGTCCCCAATGTCTCTTGTCCCCACCAGAGCAAGCAGTTGATGGGCAAACAGACAGTAGTGAAGTTACAGTTGTATTATATGAGAAAGGCTGTGAATACTTAAGTGTTCTTTCTCTCAGCTATGTTTCCATCAGAGCAGGAAGGACTAAGGCTGGGAAAAGATAATATTGTCCTTTGTGATAGACTGAAGATGAAGGAGCTTTCTGGGAGTCTCCATAGAGTAGATTCAATGAAATGAAGGAGGAACATCCATCCTCTAAGAAGGAAATGACCCATTCATGGCTCAGGAAATAATATCTATGTGAGAGTCCCACTGTTATGTTTTTGTTCTATACTAAGGGTATCCAGCCTTGGCCACTTTAGGACTTGTGGGCTTCAACTCCCAGAATTCCCCAACCTGCCATGCCATGCTGGCTGGGGCATTTTGAAGGTTGAAATCCACAAGCCTTAAACTGGCCAAAGTTGGACACTCCTGTTTTATATAGTATATTTTTATGGCAAAAAACTACAGTCATGCAGCTTTCCTAACGGGCCAATGTAACATTTGACACTTGCAATAAACCAGAGGTGAAGTTTATGGAACATTTAAGTTAGTAAAAGCTGCCTTCAGTTCTTCGTTGGTTTTAAAATCAGATTAAAACTCTTTGCTCCTGCTTTGGATGAGAGAGACATTAGTGAGGCAAATACAAATGATTATCCTTCAGGACATGTTAGAGATAATTTTGAAATTTGCCCCAATGTTTAGACATCTGTTTCTTTTCTAAAAGTAGCCTATTTCTCATTGCAATGCACTCATTACCTGATAATTCTACGTCTGTTACTCATTATTTCACTTACATTCCATGTACTGGAAAAGTGATATAGTATTACAATGGGCAGCTTAGGGCACAAGCATTTATCTTCTGTACATTCTCCAGGCCTCATACTAATTGATCTGATTTATTTGACAAGATGTCTTTAACCTTCCAAGCATGGCAAAGGTTAGCTATAATGAAAAGAAATGGAATTATTTCCTTTTTGCCCAACAGCATGCTATCTGTATTAATCTTTTTCTGCAAAGATTTGAATGTTAATCAACAATCCACTTCAGAAAATCTTCATTAAATCAGTAGTTCTTTTTAGCAATTTCTGCTATTCTCCAATGAATCAAGTTTTAGTCGCATCTTAGCTTGCATTCTTTATTTCTGTTTAGTCACTAAACCTTCCAAAGACAGAGGCAACAGCCAGCTTGTACTTTCTTTTTAATACTAGTTTTATTTTCATTTTAGAACTCACTGTTTCAGGGATGGTGTTGTTATGTAAGTGGATTGCAGCTGGGATAATGAGAAAGACAAAAGACAGAATATTAGTGTGTGGAATTTGGTGAACCACTGTTTATGCTACCATTTCTTGTGAAGCTCAACAGGTGATTTTAGGCAGGTAGTATTATTATTTCAGCTTGACTTTGCTCAGAGATCTATTAAGAAGATAATAACCTATTTGTGCCTTAGAGGGATGGAGAGGGGTGAGAACTTAATAACAGATTACAATCCCCTTTGAGACCCAGTCTTTGGGCTTGAAAGAATAGAACTGTGAAAAATGTGGACATAAACTTTCAGCAATGCATGACTGTTTTTTTGTCACTTGACTGGGCACAAGGGACAATACAGGTAGTCCTCGACTTATAACTCTTCACTTAGTGACCATTTGAAATTGCAGTGGCACTGAAAAAGGGACTTATGACCATTTCTCATACTGACAACCATTACAGCATCCCCATGGTCATGATCAAAATTCAGATGCTTGGCAACTGGTTCATATGGATGGTTGCAGTGCCCTGGGCTCATATGATCCCCTTTTGCGACCTTCTGACAAACAAAGTCAATGGGGAAGCCAGATTCATTTAACAACCAGGTTTCTAATTTAACAAATACAGTGATTCACTTAACAACTGTGGCAAAAAGGTCGTAAAATGGGGCAAAACTCTCTTAACACACATCTCACTTAGCAACATAAATTTTGGGCTCAATAGTGGTCACAAGTCGAGGATTGTCTGTACTGGGCATACGGACATGTTAGAATGCAAATATGATGTCCAGTGATGTACCAACATAAGAGATGTTGAGATTTGCTGTCATCCTTTGAAATCTGAACAATTTTTAGCACAGAATTTTGTACTGATACAATATCTCACAAAGGCTACAATAGATTAAACACCTTCCCACAAAACTTCAAGAACAGAGAAAATGATTTGGTGCATTGCTTTTTCTTCATTTATGCTACACATATTCTATTCTCTTTTTTCCTTTGTGTTTAAAATTCTTTCAATAATTTCTTTTGTACGTCTATTTACTTTTTTTCTGCTTTCTTCCTTTTAGGGTGCCATTCTTACCACTATGTTGGCAACAAGAAACTTTTCAGGTGAGAAAAGCTTTGCTTTGCTTAAATGACAAGCCAAAACTGAAAAAAGTCCTCCCCCGTGCTTTCCAAACCTGCTTTAATTAAAATGAAGCAAGCAAGCAAACAAAAAGAAATTCTTCTAAACCTCTATTATTTAGTCTCAGTCTCAAGATGTGACATTCATCCCTTTTCTCTTAATGCTCTGTGCTCTTTGGGCAAGACCATATTATCTTCAAAAAGGTTATACTGGGACCAGAGGTGGAACCCAAACTTTATTTATTTATTTATTCATTAGTGATTTAAAAGGCAGGGGGAAAAATCCCCGAATGGCCATGAAAGGCCTTACAACAAGCTTGCTTTCATGAGCTCTGCCAAACTTCCTGTGGATCTATTCTCTTCCTTCATTGTCCTAAATAAATGCAGCCAAAGTCCTTGGATTTGATGCTTTAACACAGGGATACCCATCCACACAGGCTTTCTGTGTGGCTCCCCAAAACTGTCCTCAATTTACATTTCTCAGGTTCCTCTTTACATTTAGTTAACCTAGCTTGTATGCAGTTTAATCCTGACTCTACCCCAGAACTTTCAGGAGTTGCTGCAACTTTCCCCAAATCCTTTTCCTCTGTCTCTGAAATGGTCCTCTTGTTATTCTAAAACAGTTCCTGGTTTAAGTAGGGCAGATTCTTTAGGTTGTTTCCTTAGTTTTGCCTGTTGGAGGGGGGAAGGAGAACTTGGTAATCTAATAGAGGGAGAGGGGATCTTGAGAAGGCGCATGCTTTGGACTGTAGCGCATTAATTCTTCGAGTTGGCTTTGTCTGGGGAGGCAGTGTTGCAGTGAGCTAGTTCTACCTTGTGGGTCTTAGTTCATAATGGACATCCATCCAGGAAACACTATCCAAAAGAGCAAAGTACTTGCCTACTATGAGAAATGAGTTGCTTTTCCTGCCAAAAAAGAGGAAACAAATGCATCTATTTCTAAAACAAATGAGGGTGAAAGATGGCTGAGTAGATGCCTCAAGCGATAGTCCACCCCTGCTGTTGTCTCTCCTTCCTTACTCTCCTGCAGGGTTTCTTTTCCCATCACTGTTCATGGAGCTAATCAAAGCCCTATAAAATATCCAGCAAATCACAGCACAATCCATTTTCTGCAAAAGTCAAAAATTTTCTGCAAAAGACTTCTCGAAAAGTCAAATTCTGCAGCTAGCAGGTGTCGTAAAAGCCTATTAGTTCTAGATAAAGATATGCTATGCTAACATCGACAAGGAGAATTAGTTTTATCTAATTCAGGATGCAAGAATTTCTGGGCAAAAAACTGGGTGTTGATGGACAAAACAACTGGGAAGCTGTAGCATTTTGAAAACATTGAGGAAGAAGAGGGAAGATGGGTAAAGATGTTGAAAAAAGCAGTGATCTTCAGCAATAAATAAATAAATCTCAAACTTTTTGTTCTGTTCCTAGCCAGGGGATTGATGGGATATCCTGGAATTATAGCTGGGTAAGCTACTGGATCTTAATGGTGGCCTGATCCTCCCAGCTGGAAAACAGGTGATGGCTACAAGGCACCTGTGATTTGCCATGAGTTTCTGTTACTTCTTCCTAAGTAATTTCATGGTGATTTCCAAATTCCATAAACAAGTTTGGAATCACAGAATTATGGAGTGTTTTCTGGTTTTGAAGCTTCCAAACTTGGCATTTAAACATATCTTACTAAGTGTTTCTTTCATTAGGAGGTTTGGAATCATAATGGAGGAAACTCCAGAAGTGGAAAAATGATGATTGCAGTGTTTTAATACACAAGCGAAGCTCAGGAAGCCAACAGCAGAAGAAGTGCATGGCTCCCATATTGCATTCCATGCTTTAGCAACATCTAGGAATTGTCAACCCCAACAGTAGGACTTCTTTAATGTAGACTTCGTTCATTCCAATTGCATTTTATTAATCCTGGTCATATGGAAGCCTTTCCTAGCCATCATGCTTTCCAGGACTCAGTAGCAGAATGAGTATTTTAGAGCATCTTCAAAAGTTATGGGCCTAAACCAGGACCCAGGGTTTCCCTACAGTTGTTGGGCTTCCAGTGCAGAGAAAGAAGATAATAATAACTCTTGATCTGATGGAAAAAAATCCACGGATTGTGTAAAAGTGAATGCACGTTTGCTACCAATAGTCATGTCTCTTCATCTCAACTTTAACTCTAATCTTGTTCTGCTTCCTTTGTCTCCTTTCTTTCCCCTTCTTACTTTCCCTCTGCCTTGTCTTCTCTCTCTCTCTCTCTCTCTCTCTCTCTGCCTCCGCTCTTCTCTAACTCTTACCCCAATCCCTTTTCCTACTTGCTGTCCTTTATTTCTTTGTTTTCCACTCTGGTGCTAACAGTGGGCAGACAGACCACCGCTCCCGCCACCATGTCTGCAGCAGCAGCAGCCTCCGGTGCCACCATTGGGTTGGTGGAGCAAGGTAGACATGTCCGGGAGAGACCCTCCTCAATTTCCCTTCTCTAATTTTGAAATCTTGAGTGCATGTTGTGTCATCCATCCAAGGCACTTCATTCCACCTTGTTGTAAGATTCAGGGCTAGCCTTTTCATCTCCAAAGAGCCCAAGCAAGGGCTACCTCTGTAGAAGTCTGTCTGTTTAGTGGTGTCAGTTCTGTCGCGCTCCATTTAGATGTGATTAGAAATGATTGTGAAAATGTTACAGGAAGGGATTGAAATCAATTAATGTGAAAGTCGCAAGTCAGCAGTCTCCAGACACTGTATGAAGCAGGATGAAAGTTGCAGACCAATGACAGGAAAGGAAATGCAGGATTTGTAGGCTAAGTGATGGTGGTGTTGCTAGAGGCTGAGAATCTGGTGGGTGGATATTATTTTAGTGTATTTTGCAAATATATTATCATGTATTATTAAATATTTCCTGAGGCTATTACTCTTAGCAACAAATATCCAATAGAACATGGAAATGATGAAGAACAGTGGCAGTCTTAATAAAAGGAAAGAGGATGACTGATAAGGGCATCTAATTGTCATTTGGTCTGTCCTCCCCCTTCCCCAGATTTTCTTACTTGTGAGATGTTTGGTGAGATTGTAAGGTGTTGCAATGATTTCTCATCAAAAATTGCTAAGGTGCTTTTCATGACTGAAACAAAATAGTCTATTGCAAAGACTATTTGCCGTAGCAAATGCTATCAATGCAAGCTGGTTGCCAATTGCCCAAAATGTAGTCATGTGACTGGGAGCCCCCCTCCCTCCAGCCATCAAAACTTTGAATATGGGTCATAAGTAGCTCTAGGAAGGTCCATCATAACTTTGAACAGTCGCTAAGCGATCCTTCATAAATCAAGAACTAACTGTAAAGATAAAAACCATTATAACTACATTTAATCCAGCTTGCCCTGGTTAAATCAACAATCCTCAAACACCAGCAGAGCTTGCTTTAACTCCTGGCCCAAATGCCTGGAGCAAGCAAGAGTTCTTCAGAGCCTTAAGAGTCGTTAAGCTCATTATAGCTGAAATTCTTGCTAAAAGACACCCATGTATTTCCTTATTTGCATGCAGAATTCAGACATGTTAATATATCTAACATAACTCTTTCCTCTACCGGTCATGAAAAGGGCTATGTTGTATTCATTTAACTGTCAGCAGTGAAGCTCCTCCAGTGTCATTTAACCCTGGCAACATTTTTGGGGTTGGTTCTTTCATAAATAACCAACCAACAAATTGATTTTTACACTTTGATAGGAATTTTGCAGCATTGCCCATTTTGCTGCCTGACCAATCTCTGATTTGGAGCTTAGACATTTGAAATGCAAAAGAAAGAATATCCATTTCCTCTCTTGCTTTGCTGATTATTTCTTATGAGTTTGGAGTTAAATTCTTTCCCAAAAGGGACTGCTGCTTGCTCAAATGAACTTGTTGGTGCTAATAGAAATATGCACTATTCGAGCTAGGCTATAACACCGCATCATCCATGCATCAGAGTGGATTTTATCTTTGTTTCATAGTTTGACTTTCTCTGGAGTTTAATTTTTGCCTCAGTAGGATGATGAGAATTACCATTTTTCCCCTCTTGAAACCAGGCATGAATTCTGGTGGAGATGTTCTCATTTGCTGAAGAGAACTGTAACTTTATAGATCAGGCTTAATTTGTTAGCATGCAGAAGATATAGACCAGCCCTTTCTAGGTGGACATTCTGCTCCCTGTTCTGCTGTTTAAATCTTAAACCTTAAAACAAATATGTTTTATCTCAGGAAACAAACTAATTATGCTTACCTCTCCCATCACCTGAAATCCTCACCATGGTTTGAATTTGGGCTCCTATAACTTTCAGCCATTGCAACCCTTAGATGATTAGGAATTCTTGGATCAGAGTACAAAAACATCCAGAGCAGGGGTTCTCACGCTGGCTGAGGAATTATTGGAACTGAAGTCTATATGTCTTAAAATTGCCAAGATTGGGAATCCCTGATCTAGAGACACCAAGCTAGAGAAGGCCTGGATAGGCATTGGTTTCAATTGATAAAAGTACATCTAGTGATCATTAGGCTTCATGAAATATGCAATCAAATGGACTCTGCTGTCCTTTGAAGAGAGGTTTGCAGCTCAGCCATAAGTTAACCTTGGGTAGGTTAATATGCTTCTGATTCAATACCCTGGTAGGATTATGAAAGCAAAACTGAAGATAATGCACCAAGTGTTGGATTCTTCGTAGTTTTTTCTTACAGATGAAAACACGAATGAACTAGTAGAAAAATGTAGGACTAGAAACCAAAAATTGGAGTATACTTGATGTTCCTACAAGCATCTGAAGATGCAATGCAGCTTAGAGTGGAGGAAACAGGTGAAGCTCATTGCTTTAGTGTAAGGGGATTAGGTTCCAGGAGCACACCTTTCTTCCATATCTAATCCATCCAGACAGTTCTTGAGGCATGCCAACGTAAGTTTCCCTTGATGCTTTATTCATGCCAGAACTTCTTGTTGCTTGTTGTAGTCACAGGTTTGTCTGTACCCCAGTTTTGTGATAGTGTGAATATGGTAAATGGTGCATGGAATTTGTGTAGCCCTGGTGCATGATTTGGGCCTTGACTAGAAGAATTGGAAGAAATTCTTCTCAGACAGTGGACAAATGCTTCTGATGTGCTGAAACTGGCTGATGTGCATGCAAGATGGATAGCTCTATATGGTAGCAGTAATTTGATTGGTCTAAGCTACTTTTGAGTTAACGTGGTTCTGAAAACCCACCTTAAGATTTCAGGCCTGAAAAAAAGGAGACAGAAGCAAAAGAGAAAATTATGTTACTGCACTGCCTGTCTCCTTGATTTTTTATGCCAATTATTTAAAGCGAAGTATCCTACTGTTTTGTGCCTTGTACAGTGTAAAAAGCTGTACATTATATTCTTCTCCAACCTTCTCCAACCCAGGGTTTTTCATGTATTGGATCAACTCCCATAATTTAAATGAAGAAAAGACACAAAGGCTCATTTTTGTATTGAACTTAAAACTGCCTCCTTTAAGATCCAGAAAAAGCTTAATAAGTAGGTTTTCTTTTTTGAGAACAGTTATAATTATTCCATTCAGATTCTTCCACTCTGCCTCTATGGCCACTGCTGCTACATAATCACCAGTAACATCTTTTATTATTGTCATCTCAGCAAATTCCCCCCCCCCCCCCCCGCAAGGATTTAAGATATTTTAAAGCTTCAAATCTTCTTATTCACTCTTTACTCTCAGTTTTTATTTAAAACTACTTCACATATTGCAGATTTTTGCTTTACCACAGAAAGTGCTTCTGTTAATCCTGTAACCTTTGCAGTGATCATCTGTGATATTCCAGCCTTGTTTCTTTAATTTAGCACCTTCTTTTAAAATTGAAATTCAAGAAGGTAATCTGACTAATAATTGGTTGCAGCTTTTCTAATGCTGAACATGAAATATTGTAACACAGTGTTTCTCAACCTTATCAGTTTTAAGACATATAGACTTCAACTCCAGATAATAAGTAATAGCTGGCTGGGGAATTTTGGGAGTTGAGGTCCACAGGTCTTAAAGTTGCCAAGGTTGTGAAACACTGATGTAGTCAGTTCCTCAGTTTCAGAGAGAGAGAGACTACAGAAGCAGTAGAAGAAACTCCAAGAACAGAGACAATCATGAGATGAATATACATTCTTCTGGTAGCTGTCTGATCAACATACCTTTTGAAATGCATTTGGTCCTCCAATTCTCAGGTGTATTATTATTTTTTAGCTTCCTGATTCTACAAGAATAGGTTGATGGTTAACATGTGCTATTCTGATTATATTCTGCTCTTGGAATGAGTGCCCTTCTCCTGTTGCCCTCTGTCTATTAGAAGATGTTCAAGAAAGGTCAATGGTTTTTGAACCTTCACCTATCATGATTTTTTTCCCTCCCAAATTCTGAGCAATGCAAGATTTCTACTGGATTCATGCAATTGCCAGCACAAGAAATGTTGATTTTTTTCCTTGCAACAGAGTTGTTGCCATAGCCCATTTCATTTACTTATTTAATATATTTTATTCTATACTTCTATATACTTAGCAGTATACACTTCCTGGACACCATGGAGCATCACTTTTTGAGAGATGGATGGCCATGGACACTTTTTCAGTTTATTATATGCCACCCATCCCACTATCCAAAGAAACTCTGGACACTTAAAATAGATGGATGGATGGATAGATGATGGAGAAATAGGTAGATAGATAGACTGATGACTTCAGCAATCCATACATTTGTAATGGTGATGGGTGGTTTGTTCAGATTTTTTTAGGGTCTTATATAGCAAAAATGACACCTTGAATCTGGCATAATAGCTCCTTGACAGCCAATACTGTGGTTGCTGCATGTCCCACTCAACACCTTGTCCACTGCATAATGCAACAGCTGAAGCTTCCGGACTAAGTCAAAGGAAAATACCTTCATTTAGAATACTGATTTGCTGACATAACTTCTAACAAAATCAAGATACAAAGATAATATTCTATCTCTTTCTGGTGGGATGAGGAGAAAGTAATCTTGTGTATTTTTCAAGTGCTCTTTGAGATCAACTTCATCATTTTGATTATGGTGTCTAAAACAAAGGACATTGAATTGGATCCAGTGCTACCTATCTGTTGATGAAAACACGTTCACTAGTGGAATGGATTCTTCCTTTCTTTTTTATAGCACCTTCCAACATAGCTCATAAATCTCTTACAAATGTGAAGGATTCTCTGTAACATATTCATCAGAAGGAAGGAGAACTAGTGGAAATCACCATGTATAATATTGGCTATATCCTTAATATACAGATTTTCCACATTGGGGGGTGAGCGGGGTGAGGTTTTGCATGCTGCTAGAGATATAGCAATATTGAAGAACAACTGTAATTTCCTCTTCTGCCCCTGGCATAATAAACTGTAATGCATTCTGTTGTAGATTCTTCTTAACATTTGGAGGCATTGCTATATACTAGCTAGACCAGTAATTGTAATGTTCAGAGATAAATCAGCCATTGCCCCATCTTTGCTCTTAACAAATGAACTTGCCAATATTGTTTCTATCAAAATGTATATTATACATGAAGCCATTTAAAGCTAAAAGGTAGCAGCAACTATTGTAGTCATGTTCCATGAACATTATATGACTAAAATGTTTTCAGTCCAATACACAATCCATTGGCCATACTTCTTGGGAGTTTATTATTTATTTGTTAAATTTATTTGCTGCCTATCTCGTCATAGGGTATATTCTAGGTCCGTGATAGCAAACCTATGGTAGGCATGCCACAGGGGACACGCAGAGTCATTTCTGCTGGCACGTGAGCCCTAGCCAAACTTAGCTCACTGTACATGCCTCCCAGCTGATTTTCGGCCCATTTGAGGCCTTTTTTTTTTGCCTCCCAGAGGCTTGAGGGAAGCCTCTGCAGCCTTTAGAGGCCGAAAGACAGGCTCATTTTGTCATTTCCTGTATTTCTGGAAGTACCAGAAGTGATGATGAAACAGGCCCATTTTTCGGCCTCCAAAGGCTGCAGAGGCTTCCCTCGAGCCTCTGGGAGGCCAAAAATCAGCTGGGAGGCACGTGGATGCCCAGTGCAGGTAAGGGGGCAGGGGGAATCGTGCATGCACAGGGGGCGGGAGGGTCCACGCGCATTGCCTTCTGGGTGCTGGCACACGAGCACACGCAAGCACAATTTTCGGCCCAGGAACCCAGAAAGGTTAGCCACCATTGCTCTAGGCAGCTTGCAATAATAAAAAAAAGAACAATGAAAGGCATGCAAATATAATAGAACAATAAAATAAGCAATGACAAAGTAACCCAACAAGAATAAATACATCAATATGATAACAAAAAAGAATACAAAATAAAAGAGTTGGAAGGGATCTTGGAGGTCTTCTAGTCCAACCCCTGATCAAGCAGGAAATGATTGTCCAGCCTCTTCTTAAAAACCTCAGGTGTTGGCACACCCACAACTTCTGGAGACAAGTTATTCTACTGATTGGTGGGTGGAGGAAAGAGAGCAAGGAGATGGAGTCTGCCATCAATCTAGCAGCCACCTTCAAAGTGGAACTCCCCTGTTTAGTCCCATTTCAGGAATTCCAACAACTGGATTTGGGAGGGACTGACTTTTGGAGTGTCAAGTTTATTAGGACAAACTCCACACTTCATCATGAACTACAGGTAAACTTGGAAAAAAGAAAAGGAAACCTTTGCGAGGCAGAATATTTAGGATTAAAGGAAGAGTAGGAAAAGAGTAATGTGTTTAAGAAAACCCGAGTGATGTTGATTCTGGTGTCCCAGAGTTGTACATTATGGAAAATGATGTCATCTTACTTGGAGTCCTTTTTCTATCCATGAGTTTCCATTCTTCCATTAGTGTGGTGATTGTGTGGTCCATTTCTTCCCAGTGCATATGAGCAAAGGCTTCTGTGGTGCTGCTTCTGTGGTGCTGGTGCTTCACTCCCTTTGGTGTCAAGACAGGGCCTCTGTCCCAAAGGCTTTGCTTTCTGTCTCAACACTTTTTCTCTTCCCCTCCCCTTTTTTTCTCTCCTTTTCTTTCTCCCCATCCCTCCTTCAATCCTCCTTCTTACTGCCTGTCTCTCTCGCCTTTTCCTCTTCTGTAAATTTCTGTAAGGTAAGCAAACTTTTGTTGAGTTCTGGCCTTTGATATAATAACTATCAATGGTGGTGACTGGACCTAATAAGGGAACAAGCGGGTTATAAGACTGGGATTCAGAAGCAGATGGAGTTGTCTTCTTGCGCAGATGGTGCTCCATCTGACCTCAGTACCTTTACAGTAGATCCAATAATAGATTGTAACTTGGTTTCTTTTACTGCACACTAGAAATTCAACTGTACAAATTACCTGCTTTTTGTCCAGATACAACATGATAGTCATCAAATGTTCAATTCCTAGAGGATTCTCATGGCATTGTTGACTCCCTGAAATTCTCTTAACCAAATCCAAATAACAGACTATTCGCTTTAGTCTTAATCCCTACCCCACTTGCTCTTATCACTCTTCTTAATCCCACTCTCAGCCTTACCATGCATTTCATTTCAGTTCAGCTTCCCCCCCCCCCCCATATCACTCTTGGGTCTCTCCTCAGCCAAATAATAGCAACAAAAAGCAATTTCAAAAACAAAAACTGATCATGCAATGGCCAAGAATTCCATATTCTCTGAATGACATACTCCAACCTGACACAAGAAGCCAGTACTGTAATCATTGAATTTTTGAGGATTATCAATATCTCATGTGGTGTAGGTGGAAATGAAATGATTCTATAACCACCTTTTACATGGAAATCCCAATTACAGAGAAAAAAGACCAATGCTATGTTGGGTGTAATAAGGTCACAATCTTAACACATGGGAAAACTGCAGCTTACTTAATGGACTGTAATAGAGTAGCTTCAATAAAGAAGCAGATATGACTTGTTTAGAAATCGGAATATGAGCTCCAACTTTGCTTCAAAGATAAAATTTGTTGCTAGGACAGAATTATATAGCTTGATTGGCAAGAATCAGCTTGGGTTACAGGTCATGTTTAAGAATTTGGAAATTCTCAGTGCAAAAGAAGAGAACCTGTTTGTGTGGTGTTTAAGGCACCAGGCTACAAACTGGGGGGCTGTGAGTTCTAGTCACACATTAGACTGACTTTGGGCCAGTCACTCTCAGCTTTAGGAAGGAGGCAATGGCAAACCACTCCCAAAAGTCTTGCCAAGAAAACTGCAAGGACTAATCCAGACAGTCATCAAGTGTCAACACTAACTTGTAGGCATCCCTGGATGGGAAACTATTGGGAGATGCTAAGACTAGATTTCATTATGATGGTGATGATAGTATCATCTTAGAAGAAGATAGATTGTTGCCCAGATAGTTACAGGGGTATCTCCAAGATTCAAGGTTATCTTGAAGATTTACCTAGTATAAGAAAGACTGATAGTCATTATTTCAAATAGAAAAGAACCTGTATGCAATTTTGTTGAAAAGATCTAGCATTTTCATTGCAAATGTCAGCATCTCTAAAACAAGTAGGTCCTTAGGGTAGGTCTTGGAGCTATTAGCACAAAAGAATTAACATTCAAGAAACTGTCCATGTTCTTCTGCAAGTTCAGCAAAAGGGGAGAAGGAACGCTTGAAGAATTTCTACATAGAAAGATCCTGTCCCACTTTATTCAGACTACTGCTTTGTTAAACAGAACACTGCTGTACAGAAACACCCTCCTTGTGGTTGGGCACAGTTTGGACAAAATAATGTGTGCCCAAGCCAAACCAATGGCAGTTTGAGAAGCAACAATGTCTAAAATACCATTGAGCAAAGCTTCCACTCTTTTGTATTATTGCAGACCCATTAATGACCTCCCTTCTTTTGGGAGGTTGCCCCTTTGTGAAACTTATTCATCTGTAGGTCTACTTCTGGCTTGGAGATGTTGGGACTTAAGCATTGTTCTCAAGTTGCCTTTTAGCAGTTGGATGGGGAAACAGTGTATTTGTGTGTGTGTGTTTGTGTGTGTGTATGTGTGTGTATGAAGAACTATTTAGACAGTCAAGACACCAAGAGAGTTGCCACTAAAACCTCTTCTTCCCTCCTTATGCAGCAGCTAAAAGTTTACTGAACAAGAAAGCAGATGGTGTGAAGGTAAATATATTTCTGGCTTTTGTGGGACATTCCATGAAAGAGAAAACCAGGGAAAGACTTGGGCTTGTGCTATATTAACAGGAGAGATTGATCTGCTGTATGCCTATGATTGTTTTCAAAAACTCAATTAGCAAAATAGCTAAATGGTAGAAATGAAAGTACTCTTCTATTCTCCACATGTTAAAACCCTCTGAACAGCAGTGAAAGGAGAGCCCATTCTCTTCCAAAGCTTTATCTGTGCATAATTGCTATGTAAATCATGAAGTGATACACCCTTTATGAGTTTAAATAGCTTTGATATGGATTATCTAAATGAAAAGTTCTTTGTGTTCATTCATTCATTGACAAAAATGTGTATGTTTGATACAGCCTCAGACAAACAGCACCAAAGGCAGCACCGGAGTTACCAGCCCAAAAGGGACCCTTCCTCCAGCCGCACTGGTACAGTTTCCCTTCTATTTTTCTTTCTGTTTTTATACAAAAAATGGGACATTGATTTCCTTGTGGTGTTGCTATTAGAGTTGTTCTTTAATGCTTGTTGATACAACTGTACATGGTTTAAGATGACTTCAACTCTTATGTTCTGCCGCTAACTTGTCTGATACTGTTGTGAATCCCTAAATTGTTTCATGCTATTCTTGCTCCATTGTTGGGAGACAGATCAGAATTTTTTCATGGTCCTTCTGCTTATCCTCCATAAATATCCTTATCCTCCATTAACTCTTGAAGCAGTCTAAACTAGAAGACCCCATTCAGTTGACCTTGCCACCTAGAATCCAGTTCAACCTTAAATGTTTTAATTTGCTTCCTGGTAACAAAATCAAACCACAGTATATTCCACATTGATTGGGATGACTCAGGTTCTCCCATACAATAATACAAGCCACAAGATAAGGATATTTGAATTGCAAATGAATACTGTCTTATATCCCAGCAGACAATCAAAACAATTTCCTCACCTTGTCCTCAAAAAAAGAAAAACAAAGATCTCTTTTTTCCTTCTTGGTGAGAAAGAGTAGATAAGAGTGTCTTACAATTACACCTTGTCTCATCAGTCCTTCTGAGAAATAATAGATTCCAGTAATTGTGATTGTTGAGTAATTTTTTTTCGCCTTTAAACTCTCTCTGAATCCCATCTGTGGACAGTGCTCCTGGTCTGCTTTGTGCAAATTTGTACTTTGTGTCTGAGTATCAAAACCTCCTTCCCAGATGTGTTCAATCCAGAGGTCATGTTGGTTACAGAAACTTCAATATTCATAACTTCATCGCTACATTACGATTTGGTGCTAAATGAGACTTCAATAGGGCAAGTCTGAAATCCACTGGAGAAACCAGCAAAATGAAAACTTTTTCAGTTTTCAAAAAATGAAAACTTGAACACCTATAGGAACACTACCTAAATATGGTTCTAGTACATAGAAAATAAAGTATAATTATAAATCACACTTGGGAGTAATGTATTAAGAAACCTTAGGAAAGTTAAAGTTCCTCAAAAGTGACAGCAATTCTAGGTTACTATTAAAACAGTTGTTTCTGAGTAGAAAAATCCAAGACCACTTGAGTATGATGTGACTTCAGCATGCTTTTAAATTTAGACATAGATTATTATAAAGTAGATATCTCCAATCTGGTACTTTCCAGATGTGTTTGGTTGACATTGAGAAAGAATTACCATACCTGGTTAGAAAAGGAGGATAAAATTGTACAATCGTGGAATATGAGAGGTTAGCGAGAAGCCTTAATTGAGCCTTCCTCACTGTTTCAACACCTGACAGGTGTCCACTTTTCTTTCTTTAAATACTTTTAGCAAAGGTGATTTCACTCTGGAGACAATGTAGTACTTGATTGAACAACCATTGACCTGTATCAATTCAGGCCCAGGTTCTGTATGGTGGAAGATTCAAGCCTTCCATTTTAAATCTCTTACTTTCCTCTAAATATTTTATTCTGCTGAGGGTCTATCCCAAATTACCACAAGCCTAGTCTTTTCGTCAGGTATAAAAAAGTACAAAAAATATAACTGTTTTAACACTCCTGGAACAATAATTCTGGGATATAACTATGTGTGGCATAGTAAATATTCATTGATCTGCAGAGCCCCATTAGTTTTCATAGGCGTTACAGATTCTAGGTTGTTATTATTTTTATGTAATTATTGTAAATAATTACATAAAATATAGAGGAGAAAGCTGTAAAGTAGACATTAGAGTAATACGTATAGGAACTATTTAAACCTTTTACTACACTGTCAACAAGTCACTGAAGTATTAACAAATGAAGGAATTAGAATTATTATAGAAGTTTTAAAGCTCTCAGAAGCTGTATTTGTGAACCTTAAAGAAACTTCTATTTTGGTCTTTATTTTCAGTAGGTAGGTTCATTGCTACATCACACCTGGACTGATTTCTCTTTCCAGAATTATATCTATTCTGCTTCATTTCTCTTTTTGATAGACAAACTGTGCCATAACCTTAAACACAGAACAGAAAAAGAAGAGAGCAACAAACTAAACCAAAGATTGACTTTAGAAGAAGCAAATCTGATCACATTAGTATGAACTCTTTAAAGCAACAATTCCTGCTCTAAATAATTCTATATGAAGCATGCTAGCCCAGATTAAGACACTAAGCAACAGTTTTCTTTAAAAAAATCATTGCAATATGAATATATTAAGTAAGTATCATCTCAAAGGTGGCAGATATGAAATTCTTTAAATAATGAGGGGGTCCTGCATTTGAACACAGGATCAGTAGCTTGGTTAGAGCTCTTCTACCAAATAAATATCAGTTTTGTAATAATGTTATTAATGAAATATATATATGTGTGTGTGTGTGTGTTTTCTTAAGTTTTCGTGTGTATTTATATGTATGGTATTCAGCTTTG